CCCTGTATGATTAACTTTACAGCTTTCTTTACAGGCAGCGTTGTTGAAAAATTTCTATCTATTAGGGATGCACTTTTTCAAAAAAATATCGATATTGAAATATATTTTATTTCAATACTTTTAATATACAGGGTGTTTTATAAGTAATGGAAAAAACATTTTAGTGGACAATTCTTCTCGTTTTTTTTATGGACAAAGTTATATAATTATAATTATTAACATTACAGGTAGCATTGATTACAGCAAGACAAATGCTCGAACTGTGGAAGAATTTATACGAAGGTCAGACGATATCTGACGTACCAGAATGTGACAGAAAAAGTGACACAAGATCGGTGTTTCAACTATATACATCAGAAATGTCAGACAAAGACTCCAGTATGTATTACCGATATATTTTCTTATATGCAAACTACTTGGCGGATACTGTATATACCGGGTGCGTCTCAAAAGTGGCTCACCCCTATAACTTTTTTATTTTTTCAGATAAAAAACGAAAATTGGTATGTTAGTATATGACATAAATTATAATTGACTGACGTATTCATTTGTTTTCGGTTACTTCCTGTTTCACCAGAAATGACTACAACTTTTGATTTTTAAATGGCACCCTCGGTGTTTTTTTACTTTATTCCATAGAAAATAACACTCTGAAGAGAATGACATATCATATGTCAACTTTTGACATTTTCGCATATGGTTTATTTGAAATTATAACTGGCGGTTCGTAACGAAAATTTGACTTGAAATACCAAGTGTGTGGTATCAAATTATTCGAAAGAAACGCTTTTTCCAAATATGCTAATGAGCCACCCTCGTCCCATTTGAAAAAATTGAGATATGATTAAAAAGACGATTTGGGCATTTTTTAACCGGCCAGGACAAGACACTAAAAACATTAGACGATCAAATCTATTTTTCCAAGGCTCCTTGATTAATAAATTAGTGTTTTTAATATAGCCATGGCACTCGAGATTGAGATTTAAATTACAATTTTTTATTAAGCGAGAATGTCAAAAGTTGACATATGATACGTCATTGTATTCAGAATATCATTTTCTATCGAAAAAAAGTCAAAAGTAGTAGTAATTTCCGGTGAAACAGGAAGTGACCAAAAACAATTGAATACGTCAATCAATCCCAATTTACGTTATATACTAACGTACCAAATCTCGTTTTTTTATCTGAAAAAATAAAAAAGTTATAGGGGTGAGCCACTTTTGAGACGCACACGGTATATTGCAGAAAATATTAATATTTTCATAACCCATTTTAGGCTCTCTACAACTTCACAACACCGCAGTGTCCAGGGTGGAGCAGGCGCTGAGCGAGGTTGCCAGTTCGATGAGCAGTTTCAGTCCGAAACCCGGCCCGCAGAGGGCGTGGATGTTGCAATTGGAGGTGTGGCTTTTACTTGCCGAGCTGTATTTGGCCTTGGACCAAATAGCTGACGTGCAGCAATGCATTCAGGAGGCCAGTCAGATTTATCCGTTGAGTCATCACATTATGCATATGGTAAGATTCTGAAAAAATATATTTTTTTAATTTTTATTATATTTTTCTTTATTTACTTTCTTCAGACCTATATTTTTTAGAAGGGGCTGTTGCATATGCACAATGAAGACTGGACGGAGGCAAAATTCTGTTTCCAAAATGCAGTGGCTATAAACCCACTGCACGTAAAAATCCTTACAACAACTGGGTTTAGTTTACCATTACCTAGGATTGCAAGGGTTGGCTGAAACTACCCTTAGGGAAGCGGCGAAAATCGAACCTCACAATACCATTACATGGTGAGCCAAAATATATGTGTAATTTTGAAGAAAAGTTTTGTTTTTAGGTATAATTTGGGAAAGGTTTTGGAAGCGATGGGAGAGTATGAAAAAGCGGGTAATTCTATGGCTACAGCTTTATTGGAAGAAAGAAATAATCCAATATTGCCGTTCAGTTCTGTGCCATTATGTTTTGAGTGAACCTATGTCTGTTTTGGTAAAAAAAACGAAATATATTAACGATAACGAATCTAGAAACACGGAGATCAGATTATTATAAAGTACAAGTGTAACTCTCTATGAAATATATTTTAATAAAATGAAAATACTTATCAACTAAAAACGTTCACAGAAAAAAAAACGAAAAAAGGTATAAATATTGTTATTATTTAAATGAATCTGTGTGGTAGGTATTATATTTACACATCACATACAGAATTAGATATAATTAAGAATAAATGTTGCTAAAATAATTTAATTAAAATTGTTATTGTATGCAATCGGTGGATATTTTTATATATTTTTGTTGATTGTTGATAGAATTAGTTCAAAAACACTACAGATTTAAGGTGGTAAATGTGGTATTATTGTTGTTATTTTAAACTTAAATTAATTGTGATTCTATTATTATTGTATTTAGTTTGTTAGATTATTTTAAAAAAATAATATTTTACATAAAATGAGTTTTTATTTTAGATATTTTATTCTTACTTTTTTACATCAAGGCGAAGTTCAGTACAACTAGCTACTAAACCATGTGAACAATAAAAACTAAACTAACCGACTGAACAATAAAATCGAAAAAACGGCGTCATAGGTGGCTTTGAATTGAAAATCGCTGTGAATCTATATGTAAAAGTATATGGGGAACCTCATTGATCATAATTTCCAAGTCGACTGAACGCTATTTTTTTTCGATCACATGGTATTAATACAAACAATCAATAATTTTCAATTATTTTATCAACTAATAAAGAATCCTACAATACAATCGAGAAAAATGGCGTCAAGGTAGCCACTGTATTGACAAGCTATGATAATTTTCTGTCGAAGCTACCTTTACGTGTCATTTATATATATAAAAACTTAAAATGAGTTTGTTACATTTTATTCCAGGTCAGAAAACCGTGATATTTTATTCTGTCTAACCGACCTCTAGGTGTCATTATAATGATTTTTTTACATTTTTTTTTAATTTATTTGTACATCAAAAAACGGCATCACAGTCGCCATTGTAATTACAATCGAAGATGTTTTCTGTCGAACCCGACCTCTATAAATAATTAATTAAAAACTACCATAAAAACTTAAAATGAGATTGTTAATGTAAACGCCACGCATGGTTGGGAGTGATTCATCGCTTGATGAAGTTAGAATCGACACGCGCGCTGTCATTTTTACATTAAAAACGTAAATTTTTACCGCAGACGTAGGTTTTTAAAGGCCCGGTCTAATCATCTCCCTGCGCTCCTCCTACTTATTCTAAAATGTTAGCGTGATTGACAAAGACGATACTATATCGCGTTTCTTTGATTGATTCGTTTTTGTGCGTCAGTCCATTGGTGTGCTTGCAGTGCGACCAATGGGGCATTCCATTTTATATTTATAACCTAATATTTGTTTTGACAAGGCTTTGACAGTTAGAACAACAAGTTACAACAGATTATATATTGATTATTATATGACTTGAAACACCACGGCACTGGAATTAAGTTTTATGTGACCTTGAACAGATTAGTTCACATGGTAGCGTCCGATGAATCACCCCCAAACATTTGTGGCGTTTACTATACATTAGTTTCTATATCAAAACGGCGTCATAGTAACCTTGGTTACTATGGTAATGCCAAACAGTGATATTTTCTATCCAACCGACCTTTATGTCCCATTTATTAAAAACAGACATAAAAACTTATAATGGGGTTTTTTATTTTTTTTCTTATTTATTTTTATCAAAAAACTGCGTCACATTAACCATGGTTATAACAATCGAACCGACCTCTTATGTATTATTTATTACAAAGTAACATAAAAATTTAAAATAAGTTTTATACAGGGTCCGGCAATAGTGCGTCGGGCATCTGTAGCTCATAGAATAAAAAAAGGGGAATTTTGTTTAAGTGCAAACCTAAACTATGTACGAGGATGTATTTCAGGAAAATATTTTAACTTTTATAGGGTGGCTCAAAAAAGCGTGAGTGGATCGGGATAACTTTTTTTAAATTGAACACCCTGTATATTATTGCATTTTTGGCTCCCTTTCAGATCACTTTACATAATCCTAAGATATGAGTAAATATTTTTCGTTAGTTTCAGAGATATTAATAAATAAATTAAAAATACAAGAACTGTCCAGTAATCAAAACTATGTATATTCAAGAATAAAAGAAAGGTATTTAAAGATAATTAGAAAATACCTATTTTTTTAAAATTTTAACATCCTGCAACTTTAAAACTATGCATTTCCGTACCCATGTTTATTGCATGGAACATTTTTTAATATTTTTTGATGGGGAATCAATAAGTACTGATTTAACATTTTGGTCAGTTAATAAAAAAGTAAATTTAAAGGTTGCTATTAGTCTTGGATTAAGGTAAATTGATAAAATTGTGTTTATCTCATCAAGGAGACTGAAGTCGGTCTATACAATTGTGCTAACAAGAGAAAAAAGACAGTGGCGCACAGGATTTTTTTGTCCTGTTTTCACTTTTTCGGCATTAAAATATGTCACACTGTCACACTCTGGCTGTTTTACCCTCAAAATTTTATTCGAATTGCTACAAGCACTTGGAAGAAAATTATAATATATTAAAAAAAGAGACTTTGGCCTCCTGTAGCTACGAAACCAAGCAGAATTGGAGCTACGTTGATATAAGAAAATAAGAAATAAAACACGTTTGTATGGCACATGTTTTATAAAGCACCCTGTATATGAACCTTTCAAAAAACATGTACAATCTCTCGTGGAGGGATACCTCACGTAAAAATAAGATTTATTTAATATTTCATTATAGGTCCAATTCTGCTTAAAAATACATATTTTTTAACTAAGGTTGTGCCGTATACACAACCCTAGCTATATTGATTATGCTAAACCCGGTACCAATGCCAATCGAGTACCTAGGAGTTTGCTTTTAATTATACAGGGTGAGTTTGAAATAAGTACAAATATTTTCAGGGCTGGTAGATTTCTATAAAAGAAACATATTTTCTCTTTACCATTTTTCAAATAAGTCCGAAACAATTGAGATGTTTTACTTTGAAAATTAAAAAAATATATTTTTTTGCTTAAATTTTGAGAACCACTGTTTTCTGGGTTTCTTTCTTGTAAATTTAATGTACCATCTATGTTGCCTGCTTGCAGTGGCGGCTCGTCAGGTGTAGGGAATGCAATCCCGCAAATGCGGGATCCCTCTGTGATTCCGCGGGATCAAATTTGCGGGATTTACCGTGCGGGATCGACACCAGGGGATTCCTCTTACGGCTTGGCCATTAAAAATAAGTGAAACAAACAGGTTAGTTGTTAGATTTCTTTCTGGCGTGCGTAAGTGAAGAAAAGCGTTTAACTAGTACTTGTGGACAATTTCGTCAAATAAACTGCCGGACATAATTATCGGGACAAGCAAAATTTTATGGTAAATTTAAAGTTGAATATCTCTTGAACTAAAAAAGATTTTGGGATGCGGTTTGGACCAGGTTTTAGATGCATCTATTGTGATTAAGATACTATGTGGATTGTGATTAAGATACTATGGGGATTTCGAAAATATATTTAGCGAATTCTCGTATACAGGGTGTTTTATAAGAGTGTGAAAATTTGATGAAGAATCTTTTTTACCGCATATTTACAATTTTTAAAAAATCGAAATTTTTACCAAGTACGACTAATCTGTATTGAAATTAGAAAAAACAATTTTATCGGAGTTTTTACTTTTTTTGTTTTAAGGAAAATACGACGTTTTTTTAAAAAATATGCATTTTTAGTCATACGATGGTCCTAAATGGTACAAAAAGCTTTGTACATTCTGCATATGCCAAAAAATTATTGATATAAGTGTATCTAAAAGCAGATAACTAACACAAGTTGAAAAAAACCTTCAACATCAGAATAATATTTTTATTTATAAAATAAGTAGATAAATTATAATAAAATTTAAGTTTATTTAATATTAAATATATTTTTTGAACACCCTGTATACATCGGTCCAAATTTCTGTACAGCTAGTTTAAGATACACGCTATATCAGTATATTGTGGGCCTATGCAAAATGTACAATGCCTTTTGTACCATTTAGGACCAAATGTATATTTTTTTTAAATAAATGCATATTTTTCGAAAAAAACTCGTATTTTCCTTAAAACAAAAAATTAAAAAAAAACACCAAATTGTTTTTTTCTAATTTCAATACAGATTAGTCGTACATAGTTAAAATTTTGATTTTTCAAAAATTGTAAATCTCCGGTAAAAAAAATTTTTAGCCAAATTTGTACACTATTATAAAACACCCTGTATACGAGAATCCGCTAAATATATTTTCGAAAACCACATAGCATCTTAATCACAATAGATGCGTCTAAAACCTGGTCCAAACCGCATCCCAAAATCGGAGAGAGAAAAGAAAAGCATTTATTGTTTACAATCCCGCAATTTTGCGGATCCGCGGGATTGATTGCTTTAATCCCGCAGGTTTGCGGGATTGAGATTTTGGTGCGGGATTGCATTCCCTAGTCAGGTGCAGTAGGTGAAGGGGCACTTCACCGAAAAAATACTCAAATTAAAGAAAAAACTTTACTGCTTAAAATATTAATTTACTTTAATATATTTACATGCATCTAAATGATAAAATGGTAATTTTTTATAAGTTATTTATTTTTTTCCGGCGGACCTCTGCATAATAGGTCCGACCGCATCGTTAATTCCGGCAAAGTAGCATTATAGGCCCGCACGCGCCTACAAGCCAGGAGTGCAAGTGAAAATGTTTCTATTTCTGAGCCAAGCGGCTGCACGGTTTCCATGGTAACGTGACGTCAGCCTAGCGGCAGATGTAAATCCCCCCGCCCCGAAGTTTATTATCGATGACCGATGTGAATGAGTTTTTGGTTTTAGGCAGTTCTCTTCGTCTTCCTTTTGTTTTTTGTTCAGGAAATGCGTGACGGCGGTGCATAATTTATGCATTTATGTTAATATTCGACTACTCGGCGAGTAATTAACCGAGTAAATACAGTAAAGTTGTTATTT